GGTCCTTGGGGCTTGAAACCCAACTCTGCCTTCCATCTCCACGGCCTCCAGCCAGGTTCCAGCACTCCCACACGCGGCGTCGGCCTCTTATCACGCAATGCATTCACAAAATACCTCCTTTATATTCCTTGCTATAGGAAATGACACGGGAAACTTTCTCTTGCAGGAGCTTAAGATACATTCTCATCCTTCCTGGAAGCTTTCTTCTTGAATCACGCTTTTGTCCTTTGCACGACCTTAGGGAAACATGCTGCTTTTACAAAGGAGCTATGAAATCCTTGGAACAGGTGCTCGGTAAACAGGGGCCGTCCCCACACCCCAAGGGCATTTCAAAAGAAATTTGCTCTGCTCCTTTCACCCTTCTCAGCTGGTCAGTGCGAGGTCTGAGGGAGTTTGAAGCGATGCTGGGGTTTTATACCAACTGTCCAGCTGCAGCCACGCTGTCACCGACTCAGGAAGGCAGACGGGACCCCTGTGTCCTCAGCCCCGGTCTCCTGCGTGGGGGGCAATAAGCAGGGATGCCCCAGGTATGAGTCCATCGCAGGAGACTGGAGATTAAAATGACTGGGGCTTGTGCTGAGGTGGGAAGGCAGCAGAGGAAAGCAAAAACGGGCATGGAGCAGAGAGGAGAACGCAAACGCCCCTCTCTGCAGCGATTGCGTGTGGTTTCCTTGCGGAAAAGGCTTGTAGAAAACGAGCACTGTCTTTTCCCAGCACTGCCATAGGAGGCCTTGCTGGCTGGGATAATTTCTAATACAGCTCAGGTAGCAGCACTACAAAATTACTTTTTTCTTCTTTCCAGCAAGTGCTGCCTGAGCTGGTGGAGAACAGAGAAACACACTCAGCTTTAATGGCTCTTTGGTCTCTGTAGCAGAAAATAATAAGCTTTTTAATAACCCTGACTGTGGAACAGAGACACACAAACTTTCTCCTGTTAGAATCTGCAATCCAAGTGAAAGCTCAGTGTGCAGACGTCACAAAATCCATCTCTGGTGCTGCACAAACACTGTGAGTTCATCCCCTGGGAAGGACGGTCCTGCCACAGCCCCAGCCGGCTCCCTTTGACACTCACATGGTGCCAGTTACTGCAGCTCTTTGTACTCCAGCCCTGACTCTTCTTCACGAAGTAAATCCATCCATGAGGAGTTAGTGAAGTCCCTGCGCTGAAGGTGGATGCGCAGCGCAGCCGCTTCAGTAGCTGGAGAAGCACCTGCGTGTGCTCCAAAAGTGTTTCTGACTCGGATTCCGCTGGCTGCTGAGAAATGCTTTAGTGCCTGCAGCAGCTGCTGAGATGAGGAGGGAATTAAATACCTCCTTTGGGATTAGACATTACAAAATCTCTCATCCTGGCCTGTGTGGAAGTTCAACTGCTTCCTTTGTGTACGAGGTGAAGGATGTTTTTGTCAACTTCAATGTCTCCTTATTTTTCGTTTCTGTTAAAATAAGGGTCTGTTTCTCTGCCTGTTGGAAGTCTAAAACCTCTTTGTACTCTTAAAATCAGATTCTAGCAGCTGGGCTTTTCATTAAAGGTGCTGATAGGTCACATGTTATCGCAGGTGACCTTCAACAACAGTAAAGGGCAGGTTTTGATCCTGAAGGTGAAGGTGGAAAAGACGAAGCTCTCCTACCGGTGTCGTTCCAGGCAAGGGCCCCCCTTGGCTGTGCCCGCAGCTCCTTTCCGTATCCCTTCCTTGCAGCCGTAGCATCTCAAGGGTAGTTAGAGGACTTTTTCTGGTGAGTTTGCAAGAGGTCAGCGAGCCTGACCTCTAGCAATTCCTCCTGTTCCGGGCATAGTAAGGGAAATGATTTAGAGTCCCACACCTCTGCAGCCCTGAGATGTCCAGGTCACCAACCAGCCCAGACCTGACTTCTCTGTGTGATAAAAGATGTTCAGAATGCGGCTTCTTCTCTCTTCTGTGTGTGTGCACTTGTGACACGGCTTGTTAGACTTGGGAAACACCTGCGGTGGAGCTGGTGAAGAACTGAAGAGGAGGCTGAGGGGGCACCTCATCAATGCTTAAAAATATCTAAAAGGTGGATGTCAGGAAGATGGATCAGACTCTTCTCAGTGGTGGCCAGTGACAGGACAAGGGGTGGTGGTCACGAACTGGAAAACAAGAGGTCCAACCTAAAATCCCTGCAGGCGTGGAGTGACGAACCCCGTCCTTCAGACTGTGGGCTCGTCAGGGCAGGGGTTCCCCGTGACTCCCCGTGGTTCTGCTTTCAGTCAGTGAAGCCGGGAGTATTTCATATACCCAGAGCAGCCGTTTCATGGCGGTGGTGATGCTCCTCGAGGAGCAGGAGGCGGAGCTCCACCTTTGTGCGTGGCTTTCTTGAATCAGCTTGCAAATTGTTGGCGGTTATTATGAAGGAGAACTTGTGTTTCCTCAGTCTTGACAAAGCTGGGCAGTCTGCTCCTGTGTATCGCTTCTCAATTTATGATCTCTTTTCTACCTTGTAAAATGACTAAAGAGAAATGTAACTGCTGTCCTCAGAAACTATGTAAATAAATACTGATGATGAAATAGCAGCGTCCAGCAACACTTGTGGGGTTTTACTTTTTTCCGGGCAGACCACTCCCACACTTCAGGTTTATAATGACGCATAAAGAGGCACTGATTTATGGCAGGATGACATGGAAGTGGTATTAAGAAAACAAGTAAACTTGATGTAATAGCAGGAAAATGGTTTTGTTCTGGGTTGTTTGTTTGGTGTTTAAGCGTGTTCAAATCTATCCAGCAAGGAAGTGAAATTCATGACCCCTTCTAAGAGGTTACCCACCCTGCTCAACACGAGCGGCCCTGACCTGTGGGGGTTTTGCAAAGGAGGTGCTGTAACTGTTGAGAAGCACTTAGAATGACAGAATCATAGGATCGTAGAACCATAGAACTATAGAACAGTTTCGGCTGGAAGAGACCTTCAAGATCATCGAATCCAACCTTTGTCCCAGCTCGATCAACACCACCAAACCGTGTCCCTCAACACAACACCCACCCGTCTCTTCAACACCTCCAGCGACGGTGACTCAAGACCCTCCCTGGGCAGCCTGTCCCAACACCAGAACAACCCTCTCCGTAAAGAAACTCTTCCTAAAGTCCAACGTTGTCCTGATTCAGAGGCAATCTGGCCCGGCTCCTCCTTTGTTTTCCCAGATATTGCCGTTTCAGCCTAACGCAACGTGACTCATTAGATCAATCTCTCCATCGGGCAGTTCCTTGATACCGAACTCGACAGCACCACGGCAACAGCGCTGCCACAACAACCACAGAGCCCTGCGCGACACCAGAAGTGTCGTTATCTCTGAGCAGCACCCGGCCATTCCCCTCCACCCCATGCCTCTGCTCTGCACTGCACTGCAGTGACTTTTGCTTTCTCTGAAACCAATTGCTGAGTTTTGACTAGTTTTATTCATATTTTGCTTTACCCGAGATCCCAAGCCCAGCAGTATTTAGACAAAAGTCCCCAGGCTGGGCCTAAGGCTTCACTAAATCTGGCTACTCCCGCTGAGCAATGTCACTCATAAGAGAAAACAAACTGCAATTCATTATAATGTTAAGCAGTCCCACAATTAATTCTAATATTCTATGAGCAAACTATTTTAATCTCCGGCACAGCTCCTGGGGTGGCTTCACGAGCCAGGAAATGCCCTTGAGATGCCATCGAGGGGGTTTTCCCACTAAATCCGTGCACGGGACTGAAGTGCTCTGTAAAAATTCCCCTTCCCAACGGAGGACAGATATCCAGCAGCAATAGATGGAACCGCCAGGAAAACGTTTCCTTTGTCCCCAGAAACTGCTGCCGGGCTGAGCAAGAGCAGCCTCGCTTGCTCATGAAACCCAAACTGAGACCCTGCTCGTCGCATTTTCTGCCCATCCAGAAGGAATATTGTTCGGCCTCCTGTTTAGATTCCGAGGTGGTTTTTTTTGGAAGATGAAAAATCACCCGCAGCTGTTGCCGAGGGCTTGAAGAAGCCAAGTGTAACTGGATAATGAAAGAGAAAGCCGGGCTGAGCCTCTCAATTTGGGCTCCGATAATGATTCAATTCAGGCTTCATCAAAGAAGAAGGGGAGGGAGGCAGGAGCGGGCGGTTTGATCACACGGATGCCCATCAGCCAAGTCATAACCTGAGGAACGCTGAAGGCAGCGGCTC